GTCTAAATTCTATCTTTCAATCTGTGTCTTAATATTTTTATATAACACTTCTCTTTAATTTTCATCTCCATTTAATTAACTAGTACCTCATCCATGTATAATTAATTTATTATCTTTCACATATATGATGTTTAAACCTTCAATTTACTTACCTTAAAGAAGATCAACTCTCATTCGAGAAGCATCTCGAGTCTATTGCAATGTAAAATTCTTTTATAATCAATGTATCCATACTCATTGCCATAAATTAACCTTAGACTTAAGTCTACTAGTATACAGGCTTATTACACTAGAAGGTGATACTTTTTCACTACAAAACATAGACATCAATGCTTATATCTACTTGCTTCAAATAGCATTTGATAGAACTTTGTGCATAACCTTGTCAAAAGCATGTACTTTAACTTTACATATTGATAATATGAGCATGTCATATTTCATATTTATGAAGCATAGTTCTCTCAAAACATATTTTTAAAAGATGGTAACATTTCTATATCATTTGTGCTTTCATCGACATGCTAGGTGTATTGTGTGTATAAGAAACTTGAGCACTAGACATGATGAGTAACGTGTGTCTGCGTATCATTCTCTATTGTTATCGACCATGTTAGCTTGGACACCATATTAGAAAGCATTAAATCAAACACGTCTTTGAACAACCTATCTTCCTTAGTCTGATGCTTTTTATCTTTTTTTGCTATCTATTTTGTGGCTTGATGTCTTTATTTATTGTAGAAAAAGCAAATTCTTAATATTTTTGAATTTACACTTCTTTTGATTCAGACTATCATTAGAGTTTTTTTTTTCTCTTTTTCTCATCTTATGTTCTAACATATTTGCCTTTGATTCTGTTGGCAATCTCATAGATTTTTTTTTTTTAATATAAAATTTGATTGTCAATTTGATTATCTTTCTCTATCCTCAATCTGACAATGAGATATTGAAGTCTCTATTTATTGTAGAAAAAGTAAATCTTGAAGAGATAATTTTTAATAATTATAGCAACCTAAATAATATGAAGTTGTTAGACTTGACTTATTACTATCTTGGAGTCTATCATTTTAAAATCCAAAAATCTACCGATTACAAATTTCTTTGTGTCAACATCTTCTTTCTTATCGAGAGACTCCCACAATTCCTTTATAGAATTTATTAGACTATATACTTCGTGTAACCTATTGTCTAAGCCATTAAGGATACAATTTTTACACTGAAAATTGATACTAAAATTTTCTCGTCAGCCTCATCATCATTAATTTATAGAAGGATCCTCGATCAAGAATCTCTCACCGGACATAATATCATTAGATAGAATAATATCTTTTGCAGCCATTGCTCCAAGTCCACCTACTGAACTTCTCTAGCTTTTCCCCATGAGTAGTAACAGAGGATATGACAGTCGGGGTAGAGATCAAATTACTTGTCACTGAGACTCAACAAATGAGTTGCGAAAGGAGAAAATTAAAATAGATCACCACATGCATAGAAATCTGAAAAGAAACTATACGTGAAACGTTTCATCAGTAAAGAATATGGTCTACCTAATTCATTCATACGATTAACTCATCATTATCAGCCTAACCAATAACACAACCAATCTAATTTTTTATTTTATTGTAGTCATAATTTTGGAAGAGAAAAATGAGCACAAAAACAAGAAAGATAGATCGGTGATATTACAATAGGTTGAGGTGTTATTCACAACAAGAAGAAGGTCGACGAAGTAGGGCCCCAGTCAAGTAACGACAAAGTAGATAAAAGTCGAAAAGAAAAAAGAATATCAAGTACAATGGCAAGATGAAACACGTTAAGAGAAAATGTCGAAAGAACAAGAAAAATATAAATAAGAAGAAATGAACTAATCCAGAAGATTAGTACCTCAAGTGACGGCGAAGTATTCAACGGTAAAGCAACAACAATTTCAAGACGAGAAAAAAGAACTTGTTGATGCTTAGTAGATTGATCTTCGAGAGAGAATATAGTATCAACATGTCTTAAAACACTTTATTTCTCTTGATAATGATCATAACTTAAAAGATTATCAGTCTTAGTACCATCAGGATGTATTATTAACATATTAAAGGCCTGAAGAAAAAACTACTATCAGTAAAAACAGTTGGATGAGATTGACTATAGTACCCATATTGAGAATGATATTATGAAGATTATTAGAGAAGCGCTCATCGTTACGAAGCAGAGAAAATATTAACTAATCTACATGCTCTTGGGAGAGACACCATAGGAGGCCATTGCATCGAGAGAAGAGTCTACTATGTTGTAATATCAAAGACTGAGAGATATGTTAGAATGAGGTTTGAAGATTCTCTCTGAAAGTCCTGGGACTCAAATCGGTAACTCCATCTTTTTGTGAGTATTATGTCACAAGTAAGCAGCATAGATTAAAATTTAGTGAATCTATTATGAGAAGTATATGCATACTTGTTTGGGAGATACTAGTTATAATATTAGGAGGAGCAAATTATTTTTGTCTTCATTCATTGGGCAGAATGAGTATGAACGAGTCCTTTTTAATTATGATCGAGTTGAAGACGTCTATGGAAATGTTGATTGGCGAGCCAACTGATTATTCTTCTTTACATATATTTGATTATTCTACACACGTCACATATTATGTCCAGGAAAGAATGAAGTTTGATTGGAAGTATATTCTTAGGTGATGTTATGTTGATGAAGTTAAAAGAGATATCGGTTGTGGGACCATAAAGGTAATCATCTATCAACATAGATGTTATCTTTATAGAAGGATGTAAGTGATAGCACAATAATTGTTTTAAATAAAATTTTTTTTTATCTCCAATTTTATTGTTTCAAGATACTAAATATTATTATTATTTCAAAATATTATTTGTTTGTATCTAATTTTGATTTTGATCTTTTTCTCTAACACCCAGTGTCGATCGGATAGGGTGCACTCTCTAAAAAATGGTTATAGTAGGTCGAGAAGACTCCAAAAGGTTTAGAGTACGTAGGTCGTCTCTCGGTCTAATCTCCAACGCAAGCAACGACCCAACTCACTGGGATTGATGAGATCAGACGTTCGTTTGTTTTGTTGTAGGCTCCCGGACACAATAACATGAAGGCCATACCCACTATCTGAGTGTAGAACTAAAGTTTGTGGGCAAATAAATCTAGTTGGATCCATCCAATCTCTTTGGTAGCTTGGATGAATGATAAAATCTAACCCATAAGACTCCGTTCCTTATAAGAATTAATACGAATTGATACAAGAGTGTCTAATTTGTTATAATTTGCATTATAGACTTTGCTGATAATATGATATTTTTTTCAGCAAATAATATTACCTCATAATCTTCAACTCAGTCCACTCAGATAAGACAACACATTAGCATATTCCCAGCACAAAGGTAAAGGTGTCTCAGGTACTTTTCGTCATGGTTAAGGAATGCATTAAAGAAGTTGGTTAGTAGCTATAAAAAATTTAATTTTAAAATTTTCTATATGTAAAAAGGTTGTTTCATACACTAGTATTTATTTTGGTGAGTCGTTTTTCATTTTTATTAAGTTTATACATTTTCTATTTGAAAAATTATACTATCAATTTTCCTTTCGAATTATATTCTATTTTACTCTCATTCTCCATCACACCGATTTCGTAAATCTCTATCATTCGAAATACTATAATAATAATAATAATAATAAAAATAATAATAATAATAATAAAAAGTTTGATGGAAAGTTCAAAATGGGTGGCTGCTATTTGTCGGCGGTTGACTAGGTTGACTTTTGTAAGAACCATGTCACTCTTCCTACTTTAATTACTTTTTCTTTTTCCTGTCTTTTTATTTTGTGTGAAGTTGGACGTTGAAATTTCTAGGGCAAATTTTCAATAAAAATCTCCTTTTTTTTATTTGGTAGGGACTATTTGTATCCTTTATTTTAATATTTTTTCTTATATCTTGACTATTCTGTTTCTTTTTTTCTTCTTTTTTCGATGCAGAATAATAAGATGAATGAGTCCAATTATAATATTCTTAATAATATCATAAAAATATATAATATTAATATAAAAATATTATAATTTTTAGTAGTATTGAAAATATTGTGTAAAAACATTGTAAGCATAGTATTTTTACAAAAGTTACACCAAATATTATATTTTAATTTTTTTTAAAATATTACTAAAAATATTATAATATGATATATAAATATTATAACCGGATCGATTCACACTATGGATCGATCCATGGAAAAATAATAATAAAAAAAATAGATGTATGGTTGATTGTCAAATTCGGAATTTTTTAATCTCTTCCTTCCTACAGTAGATGAGATTATGTTCTCATATTTGAGGATTGTCAAAATCAGGAGTTTCTTCCTTTTCTTCCCAATTAAAAACATCATATTTGAGGATTCCTCTTTTTCCTTTTGTTTATTTTTCTTGTGTATCTTCTTGGAAATAAAATTTAAAAGAAAAAAAAATTGGAGTGTTCTTTATCCAATAAGAATATCTAATGATGCATCACGAGACCCTTAAAAACAAAAAAGTGTTTTTCATAATAAAGAAAAGTCCACATATAATAAACCATCGTAATAATATCACCGAAAAGTTCTTTTCTTCCCTCGGAACTTAGTCATTGATACTTGCCATCTCATCATTAATGTGCATATATTTATTTCTTATTTTTCTCCAATGAAATGAAATATACATATGGTAGTGGGAAGATGGCGTGTCTAATTATTTGTATATAAAATAGCAAATGCAATAAGTTGAATTCATATATTGGAAATTTGAATTACTAAGAAGATGACATCGATGGACGGTGGTAGATCAATTCGTCTTGCATCGGACGGCAAGTCAAGGCCATCATTTTATGGGTTTTTTTTAGAATCATTGAAATTTCTTACATTTTTATGGAATAAAATTTATTACAAATTTGTTCCTAAATTTCCTAAAACACCCTTCACCTCTTTAAAGCTCCCACTCCCACCCTCTCCTTCCGTGCTACCAACTTCTCTCTCTTCCTCGTTTTCTCTTGTGCCGCGTTGATGCCACAACAAGTTGACGTTGAAGCCATTGTCCGTGGCGGAGGCGACGCGAGGGACGCCTGCGAGACCCAGTTCGCGGTGGCGCAGCCCCCGGCGCCCGACGATCCCGACTTCCCACCGGAGTCTGTGGTGGTGCCGGTCGGCGATGATGGCCTCGACTGGGCCGACGTGGGCGCCGCCGCCTATGACCGCGACGACTCCACCAAGGGCAGCACGAACCCCAAGGCGCAGGCGCAGCAGTGGCAGCACGCCAAGCCCCGGTCCAGCTCGCACCGCTTCTCCGGCGGCATCCAGGCCAAGCACCCCATCATCGGCCTCCCCGGGAAGGTTCAGCAGCACTCCAGCTACCTCGGCCGCAGCGGCCACCGACCCGCCAGAGTACCGATCTTCCCCAAGAAGCCTCCCGTCCCAGGCGCCGCCCGCGGGCGGAAGTCCACGGTGCCCGAGCAAGAGCCTGGGTCTCCCACGGTGTCGTGTATCGGGAAGGTACTGTCCGAGACTGAGCAGAGCCGGTACCCGAAGCGGCGCCGCCAATCACCGGAGAAGGAGAAGATGAAGAGGGTGGAGCCCACTGGGTTCTGGGCGAGTGTAACAGCAACCTTCTGCTGCGGCGGCGAGGAGAGCACGGCGACGGAGACGATGCCGGGGGATACGCCAGGGGAGGCGGCGGGGGAGAGGAGGATAGCTGCGAAGCCGGCGACGGAGCCGCCGGCTCTGGGGGCGATGAGGCGGTTCGCGTCGGGGCGGCGGCCGCTGCCGTTGGACAGGGATGCGCCGGCGCGGGATTGGCGGCGGTCGGTAGGGTCCGTGGAGGACGCGTGGCGTGAGCGGGATCGGGATCGGGATTGGGATGCCTCCGCCTGGTTTGACGGTGCGGACGGAAACATGTTAAAGAGTCGAAATGGAATGTGGTAGTATTTATTATGTTTTTGTTTCCGGTTTGATGTTCTGGTCCGGTGTTTAGGCAGAATTAGTGTTTGGGGATTGTATAAATGAGGGATTTAGTATAATGGTATATATGAGAAGTGGATTAGAGTGTTCCCTAATTCTCTTGATTGCTTCTCGTACGAGCCACTTGTCTATGCGCATCAAAGGATCTTATCGAAAATTATGCATAAATTGACAAGCTAGCAAAGTAGTAGTTACTTATCTATATGCCTAACGTCTTAAATAGAACATTTAGTACCATTAGTAATTTATGCTAGAAGAAGGATGCTAATCGTAAAGGGGCGCGTCGTTACCTACAATAAGAAATGACGGCAACCGCCAGTGGAATATCACATTTGCATTGTATAAGTATGAACTTGAGGGAGGTTTTATTAAAAATAATTTAATTAGAATGGTATGGGGAGGGACAACACATAAGGATGGAGCCAAGTAGGGAAAGAAGATTTTTTTTTGTTTTTTTTTTAGGGAAAAATCTACAGGATATAACTACAGAATAGGACAGACTTTTTGAAGCGGTGGGAGAACTCATCCAATTTGTCCCATTGTAGATAAACTGGCTAGATTAAACATTCAGGTAAATCTGGGCTGTTCTCTTAGCAATAAAGCATGAGTGATATGAACAAGGCTTTCTTGCCAAACCGCATAAGATACAGGACAGAAGATTAACAAGGCATCTCAATGTTAATAGTACCCAACTTTCAGCATAAATCAAGTCACCACGAGTAGACGAGAGCAACCACCAAGTTATTCAATCAAAACAAAACTGGAGTTAAGGTCTAAAAAATATCATGATATAAGCCGTATTAAATAAGAAACACGACAGATCCAACAGTTCATTGTTGAGAACCTACAAAAATTAAGTTCGTCAAGCACTAAGAAAATAAACAGATGAAGGGAATTAAATGAACTACAGTCTCCTCCCTCTTCTTCCAGCATAAACATTCATTTATGTGCTCGGTGGCTTGACTAAATGAGGTCCCTTGCGAAGCAATCAAATAACCACATATGCATATACAGTGCCTACATGCACAAACTAAATCTTGGCACACCAATAAGTAGTCATTCTATTTGTTCCCATAACAGCTCTAAAGATTTAAATGATTAAATTTTAACTATGAGAATTCCCAGATCCCACTACATAAAGTACACAACTCAAAATAGATTGTGGAAGCACAAGTGCTCCTAAAATAGATTGCAGATGAATGAATGATTCCATGTTAACCCAGGAAGCTAATTGTTAAAAGCTTATCAGATCTCCACGAGCCAATGATAGGACTCGAATCAGTCATTTCAAATGATACATGTTCTCAACACCGATGAGGATCCCCATTACTCACAAGTTTCCAGAGGACCCCAAGAGTCATATACTGTAGTAGAACAAATTGCTGAGGCTAGGTTGAAAATCAAAACTCGCCAGCTTCGTCTCAGATCAGACATGAATCAACTATTACTCAATAAGACTATGTTCATGACCATGCATATCAGACAGAATCAACACAACTCAACATCACAGGTAGCTACAACACAAAACAACAAACTCAGAAAGAAAAATAGGAATTATATGAAGAATATATTGTGGTTGCAAAACTTGGCAATGCAAAACAAAAGCATGATACTTACTGGTGCCTGAACAATGTACGCTTTAATCAAATGGATTTATATCCTGACAGGTGGAGAGAAAGAAAATGCATAACAAGACATGATGACTATTAAGCACCAAAACCATCTTATGCCTGCTCAGTCACACAGTTGTACATAATTTTGCTGTACAATTTGCAAAAGTCGCATGAACTTTATATAACAAATTGCCAAATTCAAATTAGCATAACCCACGTTTATGTAATGAATGTGGTTTGTAAGACAACAGATGTGTTACGTAGCCAAGAAGTTTACTAACCCAGATAGCATGCCAATTGTGTCACACAACAGAGAGAGCAGACCGAGCACCAGGACCGGGTGTTTTTGTCTTATTTCGAGAAACCGGATAAGTTATTTCGAGGAATAAAAACAAAATTTAAGAAATATAAAGCTGACAGCTGTGGGATTTGAACCCACGCCCTTTCGGACCAGAGCCTAAATCTAGCGCCTTAGACCACTCGGCCAAACTGTCTTATTATATATAAATTTTTATATAGTATAAATATAAATTAGATTCCGCTAATTGTTTTAGTCACTATACTTTGATAAACGAATAATTAAATAAATTATTTATATAATTTGTAATATACACTTATACAAATTCAACTCAAAATATTATTAATTATTTTATTAATTATAGAATAATAATATCAATAATGTCTTGATCAACCCGACTCAATTCAACATGGCATGGCATGCATACGATTTTTAATATGACTACAACAAATATTCAAATGCTCAAGGATTTATGTAAACTCAAATATTTATCTCACGTCCATCTAATTTTAGTAAAGAGTAATTGATCTCGATTATGTGCCATAGATAGCCTTTTATAGTGAGTTAATTATAAAAATATTTCATGATAGGAGTAAAATATTCCATGTTCTCTCATTTTGAGAATATTTCTCGGATTATGAATTTGGTATGATATCCACATAGCTTAGACATTGATCGGGTTATATCTTCGCACTACCAATTGTGTTATCACATGTCAAGTTGCTACTGTCCTAACTACTTTAGTTAATCAAATCATATCGACCACCTGCCCAATGTGAACACGTAGGGCTCTGGCCAACATGTGCACTTCAAACTTTAGTTGACATGCTAAAGTTGGATCTTAGTTGATTTTCCATATTAGGCATTGGCTATCGAGTCAATCTACCTAGACCCGATAGATTACTCTCGGTTGACACATCTACCCACATCAAATATATTCCTCTAAGTCAATCGATCTATGCTTATGAGAAAATTGCTATGGATCGGTTAATATGCTCACATTGAGCAAGCTGTGTTGGTCTAAAAGGTAAGTTGTGGTCACATTGAGCAAGTCGTGACTCGGCATACAAATATTAGTGTATTGAGGATTATTGTGGCTCAACTTGAGGAGGGCATATCGGGTAGCTCTTTTGATATTTAGCCCAAAGAGGATGGATCGACCATTCTTTAGATGATTAGCTTGATAATGATGCATCGAGCACTTTTTCGATGCTTAGTTCTAAAAGAACGCATCAAATACTCTTTTGGAGGCTTAGCCCAAGAAGTGCGTATCATGTGCTCTTTGGATATGCTTAGCCCAAGAAAGCATATATTTGATAGGGTGGGTAAGAATCCACATCATCAAGCGATGGAAGTCTGTTTAGCCTATATTATCATCGTAGGGCCTAAGGACCAAAAACCGACAATGGAGGATATTATGAGGCTTTGTTCTACAGTGTTGCCATGATGCCAACAATGGGCAATGAAGAAGGCACTACATCAAGCAAGATTTTCATCTAGCCACATCGAGTATAGCAAGGTTGCTGATGTGGTAAGATTTCGATCTATTCATATCAAACAAATCCTAATCTATCCACATCGGGTAATAAAATCTACTTCGTCCTAATCTACCCATATAAGGTAGATACGTTGTTGGTGCATATTGTTATAGTTTCTCTCAACCTGCCCACATCAAGTAATAGATTTACTTTAGCAACTGACCTATAAATCCCTCGATCTGCTTGTAGGAAAATCTAGGGGCGACATCACAGCAGCGGAAGAATATAAAACAAAATCCTTAAATTTCTCAAAGATGTGTTCGTTGTCGTGCGAAGATTGGTGCGCAAAATCCACGAAACTTAAAAGACATGTGTGAGATAGATTGTGTTACTTTAGGAGATCGTATATCCCTAAATCCCTACATATTTATAGGAGAGGATGAAGGAAGTCAAGCGCCCTCCTCTCTAGTGTTGATCCACACAATAGGGATGTGACGATGCTCCTCAAATCTTCGGGTTTGCTATCTGAGGACAAGAAGGGAAGAGGATAATAGGAGATGACAACTTAGAAATATTCTAGCCTATGAACTTTTGGTTCCCTCCTATTTATAGACGTCTCCTATCAATTTAATCCTAATGAATACTGCCCTATTGGGTATTGGATCTCCATTCAACTACCTAAGCCTCTTAGGTTAATGGATCTTTATCCAATAATCACTCATTGGCTCTTATTGGATCTTATCCATATGATCCAATAATTCATGAGCTTATTAGCTATCCAATAAGATAGGGGCTCCGACGGATATCTCATATCCAAACCTCTACTCGTCGTAGTGCCTACCATATATGTGTGGCCCTCTAGTCTCAATATCAAGCTAGTCGTTAGTCATACCTATCAAAACTCATTTTGGCTTAGTGAATTATTATCTTCATAATAATTCACTTAACTCATCGACTACGGACATACTAGGCCACTACGTCACAGTCCCCAGACAATACAGGGGAATCCAATCCATTGGACCTGTCTATCCTCAGTTATCTTGTACCTATAGTCCCTCATCGATTTAATATCCCAGAGATTATATACCGGGTATGGTGCAGTCAGACCCATATGGTTTCTACTCGAGTCTCACTCTAATTAGATTCTCTCGGAGATCTCTTTCTCTCTCAATCTGAATGATCCTGAATAGGGATTTGTTTGAGCAAGAACACATGGGATATTCTTCTCATGACACCGAGAGTAGATGATCCTCTATCGATACTTAATAGTTATTGTAAGTTGACTATCACTCCCGATGACCAACTATGCTAGATTTAGTATATTCAAACCTATAAGTCTAGTATCAAAGAGTAGAGCACTTATATAGGACATTCTTGGCATCTCAAGTCTAAGGACTAGGTACACCACTAGGATAACGAAATCACTGTTTGACAATGGTTATCGTTAACCATCCAATATTCTGTTAGCGGAACAATCAATAACTCATTCTCCAATGAGCACCTGCACTATATCCCTAGTGTCTCCACACGAGTAACTATGAGACCAACTACCTCCATCATATCGATAAGTATATAGTACACTAGTTTATTCGGTTATCTCAATATCCCTCTCAAGTAACCTATGACTAGGATTATTTAGGGTCTGTGTTTAAAGGTGAATTAGTCTCATTATCGTGATCTCATCACGATATATATATACATACATATATATATATATATATATATGTATATATATATATATATTTGTATATATATGTATATATATTTGTATATATATGTATATATATTTGTATATATACGTATATAT